GGGATAAGGTTAGCTTTGGATTGAAGCGGTCACTTCAGCGACCAACCGTGGTGTTAGAAATCTTGGACGTCCGGGAAGGTGCTGTACGATTACAGAAGGATAATCTGTATGACACAATTTCTGTTCAATGATACAAATCTGGTCTGTTAGATTCTGCCATTGATTACATCTAACATTCTGCTCCCGATAACTTTGTCCTAACCCTTGCAGTGATGGCTTCCAACTGTTAAGATTTGCATATGGCAGCACGTAATTTAGTCCAAGGTCCACATACGGTTTGAATTCAGAGTTCTACTCCTCCTAAAGAGATTGCCAACAACGACTTGAAAGTTCATTCTACCCTGGAAATGAAACCTTAGCAAAGTGGGGATATGGATTCTTATCTTTACCAAATGTATTGCGCGTAAGTCAATGTAATGAACTGCACTGGAATTCGAACTCGGCTCTTCACATCATGAGTCCCTATCCATTACACCATCCGCACATATACTCACTAAATAATAAATAGCAAATATATGATGAAAGGAAAAAAGTAACATAAGCAAAGATAGGTGAATAGGTGAACAAAAGAAGTCAGAATAAAATGTAAGAATAGACAAGATGGCGGCACGAATGAAATAAACAAGACGTGAATGTAACTCAGCAAGAAATTGCCATTTTTACAAAGACGAAATTCAAAAGGAAACTGGGATTGAAATCAATGTTCCAAAATAAAGAGAGAAGAGAAGCATTCAAGAAAAAAAAAATTGTCTTTTACCACAGACAAAATAGTTTTCTGCTTAATAAACAACACAGTATTTCAAATCTTTGTCTAATCAAATGATCATTTTCAAAATCAATTTCATGGTTCCATTTCATTTCTGCATTTACCAGAATTGTTAGAATCATTTCTATAATTACCAGAATCATTTCTATAATTAACAGAATTATTAGAATAATTTCTATAATTACCAGAATCATTTCTATAATTAACAGAATTACCAGAATCATTTCCATAATTACCAGAATCATTACTATAATTACCAGAATTATTAGAATCATTTCTATAATTACCAGAATCATTGATATAATTACCAGAACCATTTCTATAATTACCAGAATCATTTCTATAATTAACAGAATTACCAGAATCATTTCTATAATTACCAGAATCATTACTATAATTACCAGAATTATTAGAATCATTTCTATAATTACCAGAATCATTTCTATAATTACCAGAATTGTTAGAATCATTGATATAATTACCAGAACCATTTCTATAATTACCAGAATCATTTCTATAATAAACAGAATTATTAGAATCATTGCTATAATTATCAAAATTGTGTAATAACACATAGTCATTTTTTTTATAAACCTGTCGAATGATAAATTTCAATAAACCCTAATTCTCTTTACTTTTCTCCGCCCACAATAAACCCTCAAAGACATATTCGTGCTACGATTTCTACACGTTGTACGTGTTAACTTATAAAAACTTGATCGAAAATATAATAATTTTATTTTCGTGAATGAAATATATATTCGTCAATCTATACTCTTCACGAATAACTTGAGAAAATACAGTAGGCAGTCATTAGAATATGACTAAATCGTAGGGCAAGGAGAAAAAAACACAGAGAAGGACGGGGATCAGGATCAAGGCATTAGAAGATGTCGATTGACATTACATTTGAATATTTGAAGATTAGTGAATGAAGTAAGGATGGTAAGTAAGAATTCGTTGTTTTAGTGTTTTATTTAGGAAATATTGTGGTGCGTTTGGGTCAGTATTTGTGAAAAGCTAAGTTTAATGTTAAGACAGAACAAGACCATCCTTTTCCCCGTTTTTGGCCTTGTGCCACATTTTGTATTTGTGCAAATAAATAATACTCTTCTTTATAGTACCTGAAAAGCATTTTATTTAAATGCACTAGTAGAATGGCTACTAATTCCCACCGTTTTACTGTTGAAATTGCTAAATGAAACCGTAAATTCTATCTTAATAGTTCCTTTTCTTGCACTTCCCGCCCGTTGCTGTGATGAGGGGTCTGGCAAGATATAACACTTAGCAGTTTTGATAATAACATTCGATAGTCAGCTAGAAAAATAACTGTAAAATTATTATTCTGCTTTTAAACAATTAGCAAGGACTATTTATCATGAATGAACTGATCCATTCATGATATCCCATAGAGGTATTGACCTTCTGACCAGAAATTTGGGATCTATCTTGAGGCTCTTCAATGCTTCCTTCATCGTTTCCCAGCTGACACAAATCAATCTTCGTGTTCCTACACCAGGGTCAGCAGGGAGATCGTCCTTATCTTCGCGGCATCAGTTGCCCTGGGATAGTAAGGAACTCATTGCCCTTAATGTAGAATATTTGGCATCCTTTTGGGGTCTGCCCTCACCTTAAGCAGTTTTTTTTTTGTGGTGATGTTTTGTCCATGTTCACCGTCTCCAAATTCACCACTATGATAGGGCCAGCCTGGTCCTACCACGGCCAAATAAATGTAAAAGTTAACCTTATAATTTCCAGCGTTTTGTCCACAAACAGAATAAAGTCTTGCGACATCGTAATCGTGGACAGGTAAAAACAAAAACAATAAAAAAAACTAAAACTTGGCGTGGAAACGTTAAAATAAAACGAAATAAACGTCAACAACAAAATAAAATGAATTTCACTCAAAAAAGAAAATTAAAAGTTTGGCTAACAAAAAAAAGAGACACAAAACAAAACACGAAACACGTATTAAAATGAAAAAAAGAAAAATCAAAGCAATAAACTAAAAATCAAAAGTTGACAAAGTTTCACGGATAACAGAAAGAAAATGAAAAATAAAACGATGAACTTAACGTCTACAGACCGTTCTTCTAAAATCCTCGTTAGGCAAACCTTAGCTGGGTTAGAAAAAAAAAACTTATCAATTGCTTAGCAAATGTTACAAACGTAATGCCAACTGCGTCAAATACCAAATCTTGCAATAGTATTATCTTCTTTCCCTTCCACATTTATCCAGGATTACTTACCCTTAATGGATCAATCAATTCAATTTTTAATCCCTCAAAATGTTCAGCCAAACAAATAAGTTTCCTGCGTGATATTGTAGAGAAACTTTGTCACAGATTTTATCAACGAGAAGTATACAGTTTTTTCTGATTTTTAGAGATTTCAATAAAATTGAACCAAGAAAATTAAAATCATCTAATTTTAAAAATTCTAAAGTCAAAACTGATAATATACTGACACTGGATAACTTAAAATCATCCCGAAATCTGTTATATAATTACCGACATATAACAACATTCAACTTTCCTGATGAGAATATCATAATAAATCATAATGTTTTTCCTCATCTTTGTATTGACAACATTAATATTCACTTTTAAAATGTTTCCCTTGTTACCAATTTTAAAGTTACTAAGATAACGAATTACTTCATTGATTTTTGACCAGAGCTAAAACGTTAATATTCGACTTTTTGAAATAGAATATTTTTTGTATATATCTCAGCATGGTAACATTCAAATCTCACGTTTTCAAAAGTTTTCATTAAAACATTGGAATACTTCCAGTGAAAAAAAAAAAAAAATAAATAAAAAAAATAAACAAATTCGATGAACAGCTGATTTTTTTGATTTATAGCATGTAACTACTGAGAAAAAATCCTTTTGGTCAATATTCTCATACAATTTTTCAAAAGTGGAGTTTATTTCTCTCTATAATCATTTATTTTTCTGAAAAGAGTTGCGAGTTCTACACACGCCTTTACATTTTTTTTCCTATAAACTGTGTCAATTCCTCATTTTGCACATTTAATTTTTGATATTAACTCTGTGAAGTCCTTCTTTAATAAGTATCATTTTCCATTAATTTCGCAATGAAAAAAGTTTTGTTTTTATGTCTTTTATTTATTTACGAATGACAGAAAAATTCAACGGACTTTATAAAAATAATAACTGTTTGTTCCGTTAAAGAAAAATAATTATTCATAAAAAATAATTTTATTCTTAATATCGTCATGATTAAAGAACAATAGCACAGAGAAAACTATTAAATTTATATCAACTTTTTATTTGATAAAATTCTTAATGAAACTTGTGAATTTCGCACCGAAAAAAAATGTTAAGAGAAAAAAATATTGCACGTTCAAATAAAATAAATAAACATTGCTTACTTCAGTATCTTGAATAATATACTTAGTCCAAAACGAAAAAGTAAGCATTTCTTTCAATAAATTAATTTCTTAATCCAATTCCAGCAACGAACTTTCGCGTGTGACGTGCTGGCCCACAGTCGCTGAAGAGCTAGACGCGCTTTACAGGCCTATATTAAGAATCACCTTGATATATACTCTCCTGTCGATTCTGACTGATGAGCAACTACCATTTTAGTTAAGAGCGAAACGTTAAACTACCGACATATATTCTTACTTTATGACTGTAAAAGCGTGTGTAGTACTCGCCACTCTTTTCAGAAAAATAAATGATTATAAAGAGAAATAATGCATAGTGGGCCATGAATTATCTGAATAACACACTTCACGACTGATTGTCACTGAGTTAATCTCTGGAAAAGGTGTTTGAATTCAGACTTTTCCTTATCTTAAACTCGTTGTTATCTACAGGGTGACTATCAAAATTTACCCTCAGTTGAATTTATACATTATGTGAACCAAATATCAAAAGTATGATCATTTGAACATTTCCAATATAAATTGTTAGCATATGTTATAATAATGGAAAACCGTCTGAATTAAGCAGTTAATTTATCACGCTATAAAAAAAAAAGACTATTTGGAAGGAAACTCATATCAATACAAGAAAGACCAATAACAGTGAACTTCTTCCGTTTTATCTTATGATAATAAAAGATTTTATGAATTTCAACTGACTGTTACGTCAACAGTTCAGTCAATGAAAACAGAATATCTCTTATATGAAAAGGCAAATTTCACTATTACGACCATCGTGAATGGATTTGGTTTGTTTTGTTTTACGGCATATCCACCTCAATGGGTTATTTAATGCCGACAAGATTTTTATTGTGGGTAATATTTTTTTTTTATCTATCTATCTATCTATCTATCTATCTATCTATCTATCTATCTATTGGTTTGGTTTGTTTTGTTCTACGGCATATCAACCTCAATGGGTTATTTAATGCCGACAAGATTTTTATTGTGGGTAATATTTTTTTTTATCTATCTATCTATCTATCTATCTATCTATCTATCTATCTATCTATCTATTGGTTTGGTTTGTTTTGTTCTACGGCATATCAGCCTCAATGGGTTTTTTTAATGCCGACAAGATTTTTATTGCTGGTAATATTTTTTCTTCAAAACCTATTCGACAGTCCAGCTACCGGAAGAAGGTCGGAGCGTACAACGGCCGAAACGTTGCGATAAAAATGGCAACAAAAATGATGGCAACAAAAATGATGGCAATAATCCAAATACTGTAAATAGTGTACATATTACCTCAGCTCAGAAATATAGACAGGTATTTACCCTAGTTTCCCCGCCGAAACGGGGTGTGACATAAGGTCGAGTTTATTGTAGGGAAAAACCAATCGATTACAATCTGGCCAAGGACAAAATTTCCCCGAGCCCCCGTTACTGTCAGTTGAGCTCTCCTCGGTGGCGAGCACCGATCCCACTATTTAGTGCCGTAAGAGGGTTCAGTCTCGGACAGCTGTTCCCCAGGGCTGGGCACCTCGCAGTGTGATTTTCCTCAGTTGCGACCCTGTCCTCCGTCGGAGCCGCAAATGAGTCGCACTTTGCCCGAAGACATAAACGCAACTGATAAACCCTACTCAGCATGTGCCAGACAAGTACAGATTTGATGTATGTTAACATAGGTGGGTTTTCAGCGGCTATGTGAACACACGCTGGATTAATGTCAGTAGCTGGGACATATCAATTTGTATACTATGTGAATAGTGTATTCTAAATAATGTTTCGTCTATTTCTTTTAGCAAACACCGCATTATCCAAGTTCCTACGGTCTAGATTCGGCTCTGCTGAGATCTGGCTTCTTCTAAAACTAAAATGGTCGTAAAGAGGAACTGATATTACAGACCTTGGAAGAATTAAAATGAACGTGGAGACAGCTGTCGGTAACCCAGAAAGAGTATTTTAACAGTGTTTTACTAAGGGGGAAGATACGCTGAGATAAATGTGTTTAGTCACAAAGGGAATATTTGAAAATGACTAACACGCAGTTACTTTAGCTCAAGTATTTTCTATTGTTACTAGATAGCTGGAGACTTTTTGGAACGACCTTGTACAATGAGCTTTTAGCCTTGCGTGATAGTCGCATTCTACGAGATGGAACAGGCTTGCGCATTTCTATACATAAGTAACTGAGTAAGATGTCTTTATAAAAGCGTTGAGAGTATTCAAGTCCGTGTGCATGTTCAGCAACTAATATACACGCCCAACAAAATGATTTCAACCACTCAATGCGTCAGTCATATGCGTTATTGTTTCCGTTGACCAGAAATGCATTTGCGGAAATTTCGGAGTTCATTCTTGCTCGAATATTATTTTTGAGTATGTCCGAGGATTTCGTACCGTAAAGCTCCTGTTGAAAGCCCAAGAGGTAAGACAAGTAGTAGCATGTCACGCCACGCACTGATAATATTTCCTCCAGAGTACTTAACGTTATTGTTCCATTTTCAGGGGGAAGTAAACGTGTGCATTTTATCCTAGAAGAATTTGGCGTTTGCTGCCAAATGGTTCCGTTTCTTTTGTTTTACGTAGTTTTTTTTTTTATCTCTTTACTTTCCTTCTTTTTGTTCTTTCCTATTTTTTTCCGTTTTATTTATTTTCTTTTTATTTTCCACTTTGTCGTTTTTCTATTCTATAAATTAAAATGTCTTTCTTTCTTTCTTTCTTTCTTTCTTTCTTTTTCTTTCTTGTTTCTACGTCTCTTTCATGCTTCCATTATTTTCACTATCTCTTCTCTTTCACTCCTATTTTTCTTGTTTTTCTTTTTCTTATTTATTCATTCTTTCGTTTCATATATCTCTGTTTTACTTTGTTCATATCTCTTCTTTTACCTTTTTCTCTTCCGTTCCGTTCGTTTGCTCTTCCCTTTTTTATCCTCTCTTTCATTCATTTCTTTCTTTCTTTTTTTCTTTCTTTCTTTTTTTACAAGATTTTCAAGTTTTTCCATTTTTCCGTTTTATGTTTTTCAATTATTCTATCTTTTTGATTTCCATTTTTTCGTTTTCTTCTTTTCTGTTTTGGTAAATATATTTTTCTTTCTTTCGGTGTTATGTCTTTTCTTTCCTCCTGTATAAATTTTTTCTTTCTTTCTTTCTTTCTTTCTTTCTTTCTTTCTTTCTTTCTTTCTTTCACTTAATAATTACTCATTTTCCTTTTATATTATTGTATTCATTTTGTAAATATTTCTCTCCCCTTTGATACGCTATGCAAAGCTCTTGCACCCTGTCTCTCTCTCTCTTTCTTTCTCTCTCTCTCTCTCTCTCTATATCTATATATATATATATATATATATATATATGGCATAATATAATAAATAAAAAAAAACAAAAAAAAACGGCAGCAACAAATATTATTAAATTAAATATAATAGCACTCAATGCTTAATATATAGGCAATTAAAACCTTGTTCTCTGAACATCGGTTCCTGTAATCAAATTGATTGTGCCTCAGTTTGCTCTACTTAGCGTATTAAGCACTTTGCTTAGTTATTTTTACTTTACTCGTGCCGGAGGTTTTTTTTTGTTTGGACTCTGAACTTTCATTCTAGACAATTATTTTGGCCGTAAGTACATGTTCTTAGTTCTTTCTTTTTCCCCCCTTTTTTCCCTTGGGTATTGGTTTGTTCATTTACAAGCTAAAACACCTAAGGTTTTACCGAACGAGTATAGCTGCTTACATTTATTTTATATATATATATATATATATATATATATGTAAAAGAACTTACTAAACAAAAAATCAGAGATAATCTCCAAATGTAGGCATGAGAACAAGTACCTATTATCCGAATTCATACCAAACGGATAAAACAGACAAATCACCAACAATCACAATTTAATTTCAAGATACCATCAAAATAATTGCATCTATCATTATTATAATTACACCACAATTAGTAATCACTTTTACTACAATACCTTTTAACTAACAATATTATCATTACCACCAACGCACAGCACCATCACTTACACATCACACCCACTATTAACATATAAATCCACTACAATCTTTATTACTCCCCCAGCATATTTAATACCTTAAAACAATATGATCAGATATAATTTCCATATGTAACCATGAGAATAAATACCTATTACCAGGCAGCTTTAATATAATAACAATAATAATTTTGTAATTAAAATATTAAAAATTATAGCAATCTCCAACTACCATAATTTTACACAGAATACCTATTATCGGGATTTATACCAAAATAAATTAATACATATAACAAAATAAAACAAAAATAAAATGAAACACTAACAACCACTTTTTAGTTCAAGCTACCACCACTATAACTACATTCATGGTTTTATCATTCTCCCACCACCGATACTAATCATTTCTACCAATTTACAATTTCGACCAATTTACAACAACTATTAGCTAACTATCATTGTCTCCAATCCCTTGAAACATTACTATCACATCATATCATATAGACCCATTATTAAATTGAACTACCCTCTCACCCAGCACATTGAATATTAAACTAAACATCACCATATAAATTATCCAATAAGGATTACAAATTTCTACCTGTTACATATACACAGTCACCAAAAACAAACAAATAACCAGCTTTAAATATAACATATAAACCCCCAGTTTTTTTCAAAAATTTAAAAATAAATATAAATAATAATAATTTTTACCTATCATAATTTTACACAAACCCCACCACACGCATATACATACATGCGAGGAAATATTTTTCAGCGCGAAAACACTTAATATGACAGGTATACAGTAACGAGACATTTCCGCCACACTTTGAATGTTTAAATTTCAACATTTCAACATACAAATGCGTATGTATAGACATAACACCACCGGTATACATACATGTGTCATAGCCGAAACTGCCCACATACGTTTATATATGTATGAGTCCCGACGGACGACCAAGTGTGTTTATGTGTCTGCATATATCGATGTTTGCGTTAGTACGATGAATGACAAAACGACGAAATTTCCCCCACCACTTCACAATAACACCAATACACGCAATCTACATAAACCCAAATTTTTTAAAACATTAATCAGTTTGTCTGACGATCGCTAAAGCGTGAAACCCAGGGTCACAAACTCACATCTATCCAACCAAATATATATATATATATATATATATATATATATATATATATATATATATATATATGTGTGTGTGTGTGTGTTTGTGTTTGCGTGTGTGTGTGTGTGGAGATGTATGCTTAGAAGTAAATTCATGTCAAAATAAGTCTTACGACAATTCAAATTTAATCCAGCGATTTTTCCATAAATCGTATTTATTACCCCAATGAGACTGCAGTATCTCCCTCTTTCATTCTTTTTTTCTCTCCTCTCTCTCTTCTCTCTCTCTCTCTCTAGACAGATACAGACACATACACACACACACACGCATATACATATATATATATATATATATATATATATATATATATATATATATATATATATATGAGTGTGTGCTTGCGTATGTGTAGATATATATATATGTGTCTGTGCATCAGTGGTTAATGTTGACCTTGAAATCGAGCCGTGCAATCCATGGTGACCGTGAATTATTTTGAGCGATATCTGAGAAAATAATAAAATCGATAAATAATGACATATTTAAAACTTAATTAATTCAATTCTTAGTTTCGTTTTGGCAACTTCATCGCTCATCTTGTTGCAGAAAACATCAACATCACATTCAACCTTCATCTTCTTCAAACCGAAGAAGCTGTTTCCCCCACTGCTTTTTTGTTTTATTGTTAATAGCTTTCTCGCTCACACACCCTCAACACCACAACGGCATTCTCTGCGCCTGCGCATACAACTTTCACAAGAGCCGTCTACGACAATAGAGGCACTATTCTCTTGCATTACACTATTTCATTATTTATCCTAAGAAAGGAAAGAATAGGACGTTTCAAAAAAAAAAAACATCATGTGTGCAAAGAGGATAGTAAAATAATTTTGCAACCTAGAAAGGGTTACTGAATGAGGAATATGCAAAATGGCGGTTGGAAATGAAATGGTAATTTTCAAAAAAATACAATACTCATCAGCGGCTTGAAGTAGGTAAACCACTGCTAGTGGTGGACTACTTAGACTGCATATTTCGATATTTACTCTCCCCCACCCCCACGTGGTAAGATACGGCACAAGGCCAAATTTAATGTGGAGAAATCCGACCCAGTGGACTCGGGCAAAAGTTTCCCGTATACCTCGCATACGCAGGATCGGGTATCTGCCTACCTCCCCGAACGAGATTCTGTGCTTCGGCATAGCCTCATCCGAATCCCTCTCTGCCCAAAGGCAGAGAGTTCGATACGGCAAGAGCTTCTCACGCTAACACCTCGCGCTGCCAGTTTAGGCAGCATATTGTTATTTATTGTATTTAAGTATACAATTGTGGCACAAGGCCGAAAAGGGGAATGAAATGAAGCTGGTCTTCACTGAATATCTTATACCTAGCTAATCCGATTCCCGACCCATTCACTCATTAGAATTCGCACATTCACCACAAAAACTCATCTGTCACCAAACAAACATACATATACCATAATACCGCATACTCTCAGGGAACCTAAAAAACGTACCCCATGACATACAAAATTTAATGATTAGTCAGCATATTGTGATATTTACTGCTTTCCAACGAGGTACGATGTGACACAAGGTCAAATTTAATGTTGGGGAATACGAGCCCGTGGGCTCGGGCAAAGATTTCCTGTAGAACCCGCATACGCGGGATCGGGTATCTGTCTACCTCCACGGACGAGACTCTGTCATTCCGCGCTGATAGCTTAGACAGCATATTACGCCCACTTACGCATAGCCCCGTTCGGGTTCCTCACCTTCCAAAGGCAGAGATATCGACACGGCAAGAGATTCCCACGCTGATAGCTCACGCTGCTAACTTAGACAGCTTATTACCCCCACTTACGCATAGCCCCGTTCGGGCTCCTCTCCGTCCAAAAGCAGAGATTTCGACACGGCAAGAGCTTCCCACGCTGATAGCTTACGCTGATAGCTTACGCTGATAGCTTAGACAGCATATTACGCCCACTTACGCATAGCCCCGTTCGGGTTCCTCTCCGTCCAAAAGCAGAGATTTCCTCACGCGCAAGAGCTTCCCACGCTGACAGCTCACGCTGCTAACTTAGACAGCATATTACCCCCACTTACGCATAGCCCTGTTCGGGTTCCTCTCCATCCAAAGGCAGAGAGTTCGAAACGGCAAGAGCTTCCAACGCTGATAGCTCACGCTGCTTAGACAGCATATTACCCTCACTTACAATAATGTCCAATAGAGGATTGAGACGTACCCCTTAGTGTTCATACGGACGTTATATAACAAATACCATTTTAAAAAAATAGCAGAACCGATCATAATTGATTCTCTTCGTATTCCATTGAAATGAAGGAAGCCCCCTTTACTAAATTTTTAATTCTAGGGTCAATACTCTAGGGTCAATAGTAATATTCGCTTCCTGCTTCCTTCTTTTTTGTTCCTATCACATAACTCAACCCATTCAGTAACCCGCTAACTTGAGTGGCTCTTGAGCCTTTTATTATGCAAACCTTAGTTAAAAAAGCATTACCTGTAGCCCTATGTGGCCGAAGAGGTCAGTCTGTTATTTGCCTAAAAATCAGTTAGATTAGAGTAGGAATGTATTCCATTTGAGTTATTCGTTCGGCGGCCAATAGCACCGTTTTTCTGATCTAAGAGCACTGACTCAAATTAAGAGATTATGTCAGTTTCCCTCCGTTCGCATTTCTTAAATTTCTTTCCTTCTTTTTGAATTACACTAGGCCTTATTTTGTTACTCTGTCTCTTCGCTTCAACTCTTGCTAGCGGTTCGACCCCACCAACACGTCTCATTCAGTCAGATTGTTTGCTTCCTTTCTTACTCTTCTCTACTTCTTTTCATATGATGAAATCTTAAATGAAGCCAATCTAAAAACCAGATCTCTTTGTCACTCGTCTATTCTGCACGTCCGTCATTTTCCAAGGTGCCTATACCATTATTTAAATTGATAAACTTGACAGAATACTTTAAATTTCGCGAATGCATATATATTAGATCAGAAGCTCTCGGAATGGGGTTTCTTTGAATAGGGAGATTAATATAACGCAAAATAAATGAACCATTAATTGATTCGAAGGAACAAATTTTATCTCGTCGGATCGATGCAAAACTTTCTCTTGGAATCAAGCAAAGGCACGACACAATTTTTTTTAAACTGAAATTGCGTTGTATTTGAGCGGTCACAAGTACCGCAAAGAAAGGAGAAAGAAAAAGATGTAGCAATGCGTTTTCATTGGTCCGTCAATTGACAAATCAGCAATTAGCAAGAAGTCAAGATTTCCTTCTAAAAAGGAGTTATTTCCTCCAAATCTTTCAGTCTGAACTTTCACACGAGTCTGCAAATCTCTCTCACTTACTTCACTCTCTCCATCACTGACAAGTAGCCGGTAAAATTGACCCACTGTCGACAATAAAATTATCTCATAGTGACAATATGCGTTGCGTTATTTAATACTGTGAAAAACCTTCCCCTGATGAAAATACGACGGATTTCCTTTTCAGTAAGGAACAGCGACAGTGCGTCTTTGGCGTATTGACCTGAAGACAGCTGTGGAGACTAACGTACCGCCGACCAACGCGGCCAACTAAGGAACAACGACTGTGATCACCAAACACTATTTCGAACCAGTTAATTAAATAAAATACCTTAACTATGTCAAGTAGTGTTTCAGTTAGTGAGTTTAGCTTAGTTCTGACACATGGCGACAAGAATAGGATGCTCAACGAAGATTAAATTACTAAGTAACAATCAACTTAGCTCACAAGCTATTACTGAACGCGAGACGCCTAGGCCTGTTGTAATTATAAGAGGCACGTATCAGGTAAACTTCATTTTGAGTGGATGCAGTTGCATATTTCGTTTCAGGTTTTCTGTATTGTGGAATCAATATCACATGGGAACTCAATACAGCTTTCGTGGTAATGTTAATTACATATGTACGTAATGAACATGCCTGTTTCCTAGTAAATGCAGTTTTTTTTTTATATTTCATCTTTGCTGGAGTACTAAAATAATTGTGCATGTTCCTCTAGTCCTGCTATAGTGTTAGTCAGTTGTTCATGTCACGTATCGAAGCAGCTGCACATATATTAAAAGAATCAGATCCCTATCTGTTCGTGCAAAATCTTTACTAAAATTACACAAGTTTGCTCAAACTTAAATTCACTTCAATTTTATATCGATTGACAAAAGTTAAGCAAAGTAGAATCCCTGACAACCAGACTAAGAAGACCTTCCGGGTATGAGGAATTGGTTACAAAGTCCGGATATGAGGGGTTATATTTAGATTGAAATAAAAGAACTGAAATCAGGTTTGACATTTAATTTCAATGTTTTATAGTAAACAAAATAAGCTAATGGTGATTGAAATGTAACGGATTTGATTTTAAAGGAAAAAGAAAGAAATTATTTATGCTAATGAAAATTCATTAAATTAAGTATGCCACGTATGCAAAACAATTAATGTAACGAGAATTTTTTAATCCCTGTTGTATGATGATTCTTTCTCTTCTAATGTCATTCTCAACTTTTTCCGCATTTCGTTTTGCATTTGTTCTTGGAATTTCTTAAACGAAAGACACTTTTTTTAAAACTCTACGTACGGAATTGCAATCGTCATAGATGATTGCTGGCTTTCTTTCCATAAAACTGACAACCTGTTGAAGCTTGGATAAGCATGGAATAATAATAATACAACACAAAATGTACGTAAACAAAATGTATTGAAACAAGGAAAAGGTACACAATATTTACAGTTAGTTTTGGTATATTCTTGGGAAGACTGTTCCTGTAGAATGGGTTGACTTAATCGCAGTCGGGCAGAGTCTCTGGATTGGATCTCTTCTTACTTGCTCCCCCGTCTTCCCGGTACCAACCCATATTTATATGGTCGGTACTCCACTATGTAAATTAGGTGGATCGTACCACAACACAACCTTTTCAATAGCTTTTATCACAGTCATGTTTTTTATTTCCTTGTTCATTATGACAGTGTGAATGCTGGAGAATAGTTCCTTAGGAATATTTTATATCATACAATGTCGACATTCCTATTTTGAACTCAGCCATTAGTTACAATGAACTTTCACCAGCGTCTAGTCTGTTTAAAATTTCCACGTTTTGCGATAACTCCAAAATTGTTCTTTTCCTCTTATTTCCACCATCTTTTGCACGAATACAAGCCTTTAGGTTGGAATAAGCCTAAGCAATTATCCAAAGTAAATTTACCGAAAAGCAGAAATTTCAAATCAGTTACATATCATCCAAATAGTATCTGTCTATATTTCTGAGAAGAGTTATTATGTAGACTATTTACATTATTCGGACTATTGTCCTCATCTTTGTCGTTATGTTTATTACAACGTTAAGGCAGTGGAGAACTTGGAGAGGGGAATTAACAGGAGATAACTGATAATTGACATCCATTAAATATGGCACGTGGAACTATAACAGTCTACCCCAGTGAGCGAAATAAAGGGTCCAGTTCGACATTCCAACCACCTGAAGAAGGCCGGAGCGTACAACCGCCGAAACGTTGTAATAAATATGGCGACAAAGATGAGGACGATAGTCCGAATAATGTAAAGTGTATCACGCAAATAGATCAAATATACGCATCAAAATTATGTCTGGATATGCGGGATTCCGGATATAGGCAACTCCAGATATGTGGGATTCTGAATACGTATATTTAAAAAAAATGATAGAAAACCAGTTCGTAATTTCACAGACCAAAACTGCGGGGTGCTAAAACCGTCAGAACTCGTTCTAAAAAAAAAATGGATCCCACCACTGGGTAGAACCATATGCACATGGAAATTAGGAGTAGATGCAATGTTTAATTTCGGATTGAACTTTTAATGTTAGCACTCTATTAAAGGTAGGTAGATTACACTTAAAAAAAAATGCTACATTTTAAAGCAGCTTGTCAAGCGTGAATTTGAAAAAATGGCATAAAAATTGTTTGCTTTTTCCTTTTCGAACGTGTGTCACACAAGATTATTATTAAGTTTATTATTTCTTTTTCTTGACTACTATTCAACCAATACAAGGACCAAAGGCCACTCAAGCGAGAGATATACTGAATGAGATTGTTGCAAATAAAAACAGTTGACTAGAGACTAGAAGATATTAAGATTACAATGATCGGGAAAGCATACCGGCGAAAGTCTGTTACAAAAAGTAGCGGCCCTTAGGTAGAAGCTGTCCCAATGGAACGTCGTTTTTACCAATGAAATAAGAAAGGACAGAATATGATATGACCATGTCTTTATAATTTTCATGAATTAAATTTTAAGTTAAGTTCAGAAATTATTTGGTTATCCACAAAGAAACTGCATTTTTTGCCTTAAGATTATTAATAGCCAAAACAAACTACAACTTACGAAAAGAAAGTGCTATATCTCATTTTATCACCTAGCTAGTGAATGGCCAACTGCAGTTTTCTAATTATCAAGACACATACAAATTGGACAAAAATAGGTTTCTCAATTCAAACGTAAACGAAAAGCGATTACAAAAACTACATAAAACACACTCATTGGCTTAAGTGGCAATTCCTGTTTTTCATGGTTCTAACATTAATTACCGAAATTCGATAGGGAATAATGGAAACCTCAAAGACCTTCTAGAAAAGAATCACAAATTTAAACATGGCATGCTAAGATAAAGCAACAGAGTTAAACATACAAGCAAAAGTACAGAAGCCCTCAAGAAGCCACAAACTAATCGAAGTTTTACATCATTTGTTTTATTCCCCAATGCATTCTCCTCCAGGTTTTCAGTTTTCAATCATCTTGACAGTTTGTTGAACAATAGGACTTTCTAAAAAAAAGCAACTGCAGAAACAATTTACTGATTCCAAGAACAATGATTTTTTCAGTTACAGCATAAATAACATTATCGAGTGTTAACAACTGTTCACTCAGTCATAGGGAAACTCCTTCCATTAAGCATATTTTTCTATCGCTTTCAATAATTTTGGTTTTAAAATGCTCTATTCAATTAAAAAAAAAAGCTATTTTCTGGATATTGAAATTCACAGTTCACCACAAAAGTTTGTATATTCTCATGACGTCCCGAAGGAGACCGAGCATACAACAGCCGAAACGTTGTGAATATGTGAATGAAGATGAGGATAACAGTCCGAATAATGTAAATTATCTAAACTAAGTTTATTATATTTTTATGCTAAAACGATGCTTAAATGGCTCTTCTATATATCATAAGCTATCTGATATCTTCAACGCACGTGATGAGGCAAGAAAGGCTTTGAGTATGTTACCAGAATAATTCGCCTCAAAATCTAAGAACTGCAGCTTTGGACTCATGATGATAATTGTCAGCGAAACACTATCAAAACGTCTGTTGGCTTATTCTTTTATAGTATTTTCCAATTTTCGAATACGATTCAATACAAGCTCGACGTTGTGGATGAATTCTGTTCATATTTCATACTTAATTATTATCTGTCTGTATTTTTGAGATGAGGTATTTTATCTATTTTCACTATTTACATTGTTCCAACCGTTGTCTTCATCTTGTCATATTCACGACATTTTGGCCTTTCTACGCTCCGGCCTCCTTCAGGTGATTGCAATTTCGAACTGAAACCTTTATTTCGTCCACCGGGATACTTTGCTCCAGTTCCACGTACCATGCCTCATCCAGATGTCTCAATTTCGGTTTCAGTTATTTCCCTTTAGTAACTCGACTCTACAAGTGAGATATCCGTAAATGTAAATAGTCTTCATATTTCATGTTTCTGTTTTTCTCTAATTATTTTTGATTATCTAACTCTTTATCAAGTAACCGGCGTTGCCAGCGTCTTAGAATAGATTTTGTTGGTTATATCCTTGAATATTTTGAGAGCTGGGATTTGAATTAGTAACGCCGTGTGTTATACACACAACAAAGGAAAAAAATTATCAAACATTCGTTCATAATATTATTATTTTTTAAAAGTTTTAAATAGTTTATAGACACATAAGTTCTTGTCTCCTTACTACAAAATTTGGATTTTTTCATTGATTCATTAATGAATTCTAGAATTCTGAATCTTTCTTTGCGAAAAGTGCCATACAGTGCTATGATATTATGCCAATAATTGGTTTGTTTTAATAGTTGTATATTGACTGCGTTTTTTGCACGCGAATAACAACTTGTAGGTGCAATAAAAAAGAAAAACATTAAAAACATTGGATAAGAAACTGGCAAGAGAAATGATTATCTTTAAGAATGTCACAAAAAGAGATTTCTGAAAAAGAAAAATGGCTTTGAAGAAGTTGGTGTCGTGAATGCAATCAGATATAATAGAGAAATATCGTAAGTTCTTGCATAAGATGTCTTTAAGTGGCACATTTTACAACCAGGAAAGGTTAAGCTAAAAGCATAATTCATACAAGATAATGGTACTTCACGGTCCATAGAATTACATATTGTCTATATTCACGAAAAAGATTTCGAACAGCCCAAATTAACTGAATGAGTAGATAGATAGATAGATAGATAGATAGATAGATAGATAGATGTAGTTGTGTAAAAGAGATAGAGATAGACAAAATGTGAAACTGAGATGTGTAAGAAAAGCCAAATATATAAATAACTATCTTTTAATACAGATAGATAGATAGATAGATAGATAGACATAATAAATATATACAGACAGATAGATAGATAGATAGATAGATAGATAGACAGACATAATAAATATATACAGACAGATAGATATATTAGTAGATAAATAGATAGATAGATAGACAGACATAATAAATATATACAGACAGATAGATATATTAGTAGATAGATAGATAGATAGATAGATAGACAGACATAATAAATATATATAGACAGATAGATAGATATTAGTAGATAGATAGATAGATAGATAGATAGACAGACATAATAAATATATACAGACAGATAGATATATTAGTAGATAGATAGATAGATAGATAGATAGACAGACATAATAAATATATACAGACAGATAGATATATTAGTAGATAGATAGATAGATAGATAGATAGACAGACATAATAAACATATACAGGCAGATAGATATATTAGTAGATAGATAGATAGATAGATAGATAGATAGATAGATAGATAGATAGGATGAGGAAGAATAGGATTATTAGATGCAGATATTTGGATAGATATTCTGAAAGCTGAATATCTCTTCACCGACCGTTCTATTCCCTGATACATACATACCCCCCACACACATACATACACCCCCCCACGCGCACACACACACACACACACACACATATATATATATCTCGGGAGAAAGAGAAATAGGTTGAGGATGAGTGATTATGATTAGATAGATAATGAACAAGAGATAGACTTAAAGAATTATATATATACATATATATATATATATATATATATATATATATATATATATATATATATATATATATATATATATATATATATATATATGCATACATAGATAGATAGATAGATAGATAGATAGATAGATAGATCAAATGTGTGTTCTTGTATATAAGAGATGGAGAAAGTAGGAAAACTGATAAGAACAGAAAAATATATAATAATCTTTTGATATATATATATATATATATATATATATATATATATATATATATATATATATATATATATATATATATATGTATAGATAGATAGATAGATAGATAGGATGAGTAAGAATAGGATGATCAAATGGAGATAGTTGGATCGATCGATAAACTGAATATCTCTTCACCGATGATTACCAACCTTTCTATTCCCTGAAGAATACGCCTTTCATAACTTCGGTGATTCTCCCCAGAAATCTATTCGATTGGCAATAATTCCTCTTTGCCCTTCGTCAGGGAGCCAATGTTGATGCCATTCCTGTTCTCACCCGCGTGTCTGCTTCTCTTGACACGCTTATCCGATATCTGCACGTAAAGACCGCATAACTATAGCCTTAAATGCGACGTTTTATGTCTACCTTTTGACCCGTGATGGAAATGGTACAAGTAAAAATCACGGAATTTTTCATTGAAACTCAGCCGATCGGAAACACCACAATGGAGCGAATGGTGGAAATCAAATGAACATTTCAAAAGCAAAAAACGTAATCTAAGTGAGTGGCCTCATAGTTGAGAGAGTTGTTCATTTCTCACGAGTGCGTGTGGCTGCTGATCGAACTCAAGGGAAAACAATAGATAGCCTACAGAAAAAATTGATTCTCACATAGAAGTTTTCTCATTACCCTTTCATTCAAATACTCTTGAGTTGTATTAAATTAACATTGATTATAAACAAAATATGTTGCACCCGAAATAATAATAATAATAATGGACTACACAATACACACAGACATAACAATCAAAGTTAATCGTCCAGACATCGTTATTAGAGACCGCAAACAAAAGACTTGCGTCCTTATTGATATGGTACTCCCTGCAGGCAGCAATGTATCTTTGAAGATCTTCAAAATGCTATCAAAATACAATGACCTTGAAATCGAAATATCAAAAATATTACACATGAGAACATCAACAATCCCTGCTGTACTTAAAGCCCTCGGATTGCTTGGAAAATATTCCAGTAGATTCATTGAAAGGATTCCTGGCAGCCAATTCCTTAAAGAAATACAAAAAAAATGTTCTCAACATGAACAGAGAGAGAGAGAGAGAGAGAGAGAGAGAGAGAGAGAGTGACAATTTTAGATCGCAATCAACATATCGATCTGCTAAACTAACAGAAAAAAAAAACGATTTGCATTAATATCCAAACCTCCTGTCCATTTGACGTGAGAACTAAAAATAAATATTAGAAGATGGACAACTACAATGAAGTAAATTTTGAAATTTAAAATAAAGGAAAACAAAGAAAGTAAATATAGTACCAGTGATAATGGGAGCACTGGGGTGCTTTACAATAAAAATGAAAAAAATTCAAACACTTAATTGGGATTTGTAAATAGTGCCATTACAAAAAGCATCCCTGTTCGGATCTCCGAGAGGAAAAGAACAAATGGTTACTTTATTTCCTTAAGTAACGAAAAGTGAAACAGAAATGTTATTCCCGGCAACCGTCATTAAAAAGGCGAAATAATAATAATAATAATAATAATAATAATAATAATAATAAGAAGAAAGAAGAAGAAGAAGGACAAAAATGTAAATCTCACGCTACAATCGTTTTAAAACTTCAGTATGTAGATTCGTTTTCATAACGCTGCCTAAGAAAACCAGGTACATACGAATGAGAACTCCATCTGACAATTAACTTGAGCGACATAACGGTACTTATCCGAATTCTGATGAATAAAGCACGTAGATTAACTAGAGCAGAAAGAAAAGAAGATAAGTGTGTTTTCGTTGAAGACACTGGAACAAGAAATGCAATATTTATGCTGGGAATGATATAGGTTGTAGCATACATACGTGCGATAATGGGTGTGTCCCGAATTCACATAAATACAGTAGTAACTACTGTTTGTCAGTCTGTTGTTTGTGATTCTTCTCTAGCTGTGCTGGTCAAACTCTCTGCATCCGAGCAGAGAGGATCAACAGGGGATGATATGTCGAAGGGCAGAATCTAGTCTCAAGAAACAGCTACCCCACCCAGTTTTATACAGGGTCTACGGTGAATTTCTGGCTCGGAGACCGCACATTTAATTCGGACTTGTGCCCCATCTGGCCGTTGGAGATTTGTCTCTAGCAGTGCTGGTTAAACTCTCTGCCTGCGGAAGAAGACGATCCCCAGACGAGGCTATATCAAAGGGGAGAGTGACGTCTCGGGAAACAGCAACCCGACCCTGTTTTATATGGGTTTTAAGAGGAATACGGCTCGGAAACCCCACATTAAAATCGTCCTTCTATTACATTTGGCCGCGTGGGTAGTTGTTAGATATCCTACAGTTTGAGATTTGTCAACTCTATGCCTCCACGCAGAGAGGATCCCCAATGTTATAGTGGAACACACCTATTCTATAGTTAATAGACTCTCCCACCTATAATATGTAGGAGTAGTAAGAGTAAGAAGACAGTCATTCAGTGGATTCGGTCAATCAGTCGATGCCGGACGACCGTTAGTCGGATACTAAAGTATCAGCGACCACAACTAGATTTCTCTGCGTCATTACCTATTATATCAAATTCCTAATGTTTTGTCCGTCGAACCTATTTTAGGACCGACTTAGTACAAATACAAGTCTCCACTGTGAAACCACTCCATAACACCCAAACAAGGCTAAGACGAAGGGCAGAGTTTCGTCTTGGGGAACAGCTACCCGACTCCGTTTTATACAGGGTCTCAAGAATTTTTGGCTGAGTCTACAGACTCGTATATCCCACATTAAATTTAACCTTGTGCTACATCTGACCGCGTGGGGCGGTTGGCAGATATCCTAAAGTTGGAAATTCATTGTGGAATTCACTTGACCCACTTCTAACCATTGATTACTACTTCTACGCGCCGCTGGCGAATCGTATATGCGTCCGTGTCCTAAGTATTATCGTTCATTATGAAGGATCGTGTGATTATTCTGTTCAGTAACCTACTCTAGGTTACAACAATCTGAAATAGCAATACAAATACAGAATGTTGCATACTTATCTTTTATAGATTTGAAAAAGTGTTTGATAAAGTAGGTTACAAAGATTCCTTTAAACTTTTAGCGAATCTTGACCAATTTCGAAAATATATTAGAATAATTAAGTACTGATACTAGGAAAAAATCACCTTGTATACGAATAGAAAAGGAGTTCAGTAATAGCACAAAAGCAGAAAAGGGCTGTATGGCAAGTATGCGTCTTCTTAACGGAATTATTCAACTTTACCCTGAAGCAATACTGAGAAAATTAGAAGTCCTCTCAGGATTACTTATTGTCGAGCACAGTCAGGAACAACACACGACATGCAGATGACAATGTTGATAACAAACCCAGAAAGGAAACAGGACTCCTACAGAAGTTAGTGAGGGAAAGTGAGAAGAAATGACTAACTATCAATTGAAAGAAGACGGAATTATCAGCAAAATGAAGAGCACAAGTGGCGAATTGGAGATAAGGCAAGCGGGACAATGGAAAACTGTAATAACCTACCTAACGAGTGTGTGTAAATGGTTGATAGAACAGAAATTATGAGAGACAAATCTTAATTAGATTTGCAAATAACTGGATGTTGTGGGGAGCCACATTCTGAAGGGACCATTGCACATAGAAGTATTATGTGGTTTCGATTTTCTTCACTGAAGGAAAAGTAATATATAATAATATATATAATAAAATTATAAAGACTGCCATTAAAATTTGCACTAAATCTTGACCCTTGTAAAAATCATTTTTCTTTTGAATGCATTTCTAGGGAAAATCTTAGCTATATATTTACATCATACATACACCTACTCTCTTTCTAATATTTGCACTGTTTTGTGACCACTGACATTTCATTTGGGATATCATATAATGGGTCTGTTGTGGCAGCAATGTTTACATTAATCTCTGACCACTGACAAATCCATTCTTCCTGTCTTTCAATTCATTTATATTATAAAAGCATATATTTATATTATACATATAATAACCATTTTCTCTTGCTAGTGCCTGCATTATTTTCTGACTATTAATACTCTTTTTTCCCACTAGATTCAAAGTGTGTAGATATTAATGTCGATACCTTACGAAAATTCACAGCGTCTTTGGTTCGTACGCATGTGTAGTTGCATTACCGTAAACATAAAAGTGAATTTCCACCTAAAGGACGAAATTTCTTAGACATAAATTTTTCCACGTTCTCATACTTCTTCCCACTAAAATTGTTCTTGATATATAAAAGAATATACATATATATAAAAGTGGACATTGAAGACAACACAATGAGGCAACAGGCTGTTTTATGCTAAACGCAAGACTGTAGCTCCTGGGTTTTGACTTCAATGTCCACTTTTATATTTACATACGCTCTGTCCCCGATATTAAGAGTTTTAAGCTGTAAATTTATCATATTTTTTTAATATATATATATATATATATATATATATATATATATATATATATATATATGTATGTATGAAAAGTTAGTTATTCCAACGAGAGAAAAATGTATATTTTAAAAAACAGAGAAACCTGAAACGTTTTTGGTTATAATATAGATTTGTTTTAGTATATATATATTATATTTTATTCTTCGTATTTTCGCTACACGAGTTTTCGGTCTCGTGACCTTCTTCAGGCAGATAAAAGGAATAAATTTTCCTTATGTTCTTTTAATGTTTCAATGTCCGTTTTCCGTATTTGTAGAGAAAATCATTCCTGTACTGTTGGCAAAAGTGAATTTCTGCCGAAGTGGTAATAAGATCATTAAGTTTGGTTTTAGTGGTGATGATGATAGATGTGTTGATGAGAGATGTTTTTCTATCCATGCATTACCCTTGAGTCTGTCTAATCTATTTCCATTTTTGCGTATTGTGTGTGTATGCATGTTCCCGTTAGCTTACACATGTATATGTACATTTCCTCCCCATATACACATACTTTTTTATGAAAAGGAATCAGCATACACATATATACACATGCATATATATATATATATATATATATCCATACACATACGCATTCTTCCTGTGTTGCGTAGGGTTTGCGTGTGTTCCCGTGAGTAGTCTGTTTTTGCCAGCGTGTGTAGATATACACTTGTTCACCATGGATACATTTTTCCACGTGCGCGAGTGCATGTATGACGCGGCCCGACCAGTTAATATGGCCATCATGTGTGCATGCCGTGTGTCCACGTGTGTGGTGCTATGATCTGTTCAGTGTTGGCTGGTTTAAATTTGCCTATTAGGTTTTTTCTTTAATTTGTAAGAAAGAGTAGTTGTCTGTCTGGTATATTGGCATAATTTTAAATTTGCCTTGATTGCATATGTAGATGTGTTGCGATACAAAGAATTTTCTGTTGTCGGGTAATTTGATGTTGCTTTTGTGAAAGGCAACTCTGTTATTAAGTGCTTGGCTGATGCCTATATATGACTCCTTGCATTTTATGCATTTGAGTGAATAGATCACATTTTCGGAGTTGCAGTTCAAATTTTTATTTATTGTGAATGTAGTTGTGAGGTCTTCAAAAGTGTAGGTGTTCCCTTCTATAATGACATCACAAATCTTACATGATTTTTGTTGCATTTTGCGACCATCTATGTACTGTGTTGTTTAAATTTGGATGAAGTTAATGTATGTTTTAAGTTTTTAGATTGGCGTTTGCTTCTAATTATTTTGTTGTTTTTAGTATATTTTTCATTTTGGCATTCTTGTTATGTATGTCTACATTTCTTGTAATTTCCGTAAATAGTTCTGGATTGTTCTTATTGTATGTTGAGACATTTAGAGTAAACTAATGGCAAATGATCAAATGTTAGAGCAATAAAAGACGGGAAATTATGGAGAGCCATGATCTTTCATGTCCATATATTCGGTTACAGTAATCATAACATAGCCAGCAGTATATTAATTATTTTCAATTTATAATTTGAAATATGAAATCTTTAATTCAAATAATAAGCAAGTTATTAATGAAATTAATTTAAATAGTAAATTAATTTAAAGGTTTTTAGACTCATAGTATTAACTGAGATATAAATACAACACACACACGCAAATATATATATATATATATATATATATATATATATATATATATATATATATATATATTTGTGCGTCTAAATTTTGCTATCTATTCTCTTAAATGACTTAATTACAGTCTTCCTCTGATTCTGTTGTTTTCAATACGCCTTGCGAATGTTAAAATATTTAGTCTCTCTTTTCTCATTATTTATCTTAGAAACTATAAGTGTCTCATTCTGGTTGGCAGAATCAGTTTTTCTTGTAGATCTTATTTTACTCACAACTTCCTTATTGCTCACATGTTCCGATTGTGTTATTCTCTTCTTCTTCCTAGCGTTTAATCACATATAAAAGATTAAATATTACATAGCCGTCGAGCATCATTTTCTTTGCTTGTAAAGCTATTTTATTTATCATTGAATACATTGGCTACATTCTGGAAGGTAACATTCGCTATTCATATTTTTGATCACAACGACCACCATCATAATAATCACAAGTCCCATGACTGGGTCGCTGCACAGATGAGCACCTGCAGTTCCATCTACGTATCCAGGTAAAGTTCCAGAGAGGTATTGCGCTAGTAGACTTGACGGGCATGTCTTAGATTAGTAGACCCGGTGGAACCCATCCCTCTCCTAGTCCAACCACAGACCGTGTTCTCTAACTTGAAGGCACACCTTGGTCATTGACATGCAGATTGATTTCATCGATATAACCATCTGTCCTGGGTGTTGACTTTTCTATGAATCCTTACGCCCCGAGATGCTGGGTCATCATCACACTGCATAGATATGGGGCCCATTCTAACCTACGTTCCTTAGGCCATACTTTTAATTCAGTTCGATGTTGAGTCATACTCCTTACGTGGTTGGAGAAATGATTTTGTAACATTTGCTCTAACCATGCATAGTAATGACTTACATTGTACCAATACCTCCAAAAGCAACTCAGTAACGTTTTTAAGTAAGTTTTACGCAGTCATGATGGACAGTTGTAATTTGAATGTGGTTCATCGCCTTGAAAGTCAATCTATCTCCAGACCTCAAGGGTCTCGTATATATGATCCTTCGCTAAAGAAACTGGGGGAAAAAAATAGTTCCTTGTATCGCCGCAGAAAGTTCCAGGCTCCGCTGGTCAAGATCTATTAAGGTCAAACCAAAAAAGAGATTATTGTTACCATATCTGGGCTGGAGCTGCCCAGTCCTCACTTTCCAATCAATGAACCATTACTTATTTTCCACCCTAAGACCCCATCCCAACAGACGAAACGTTGTTAGCCTCTCGCAAATCTCTGCATTTTCATGACTTATCAAGCTACATACATTAGCTCCGCCGATCCATACCTTTACACCTAAGTCCCGCCATGCCACTAACACAAGGTCGAATCATCTTTATTAACTTTATATTCCATTGCTAAAGAGGAAGTTCCACTCAGACAGACTCTTTCCAAGATCTGTTATTTTGTGCAAGTGTCTCTTACTCCGACCTCTCCAAGCCGAAGTTTAACCATTATTTATCATACATATTATCATATTCCTCATCGAAATTCCTATTCTTATGCCTATATAAAATAATTAACCCTCTATCTCGTGTGGCTCTTGTGTTTTATTGGGCTATGAAAAAGTATCTGACTTAAATATTCGCTAATACCATTTGAAGAATTGAACCTAGGATGTTTACTCAATTTCCAGTGTTATCTGTGTGGCTTACTGTTATTAGTTGACCATAGAAGAAATTTTGACGTTGGAAAAGTTGTTAGTGGTTGATATAGAAGAGAGATACACAAAACGCCAATAACATAGAAGGAGATTGAAAGTGAAAGTAGATGGTTTGTTCTCGGTAGCTATTTGCTTCAGATGATTAGCTGAGCATAACAGCAAATTTCGGTCAAAGATTTGGGTGAGTCACCATGAATTACAGCGCACCTTTGAGAAATTCGAGCGTTTGAATTCTGCCCGCTCTCTTAGGAGGTCAGACGATGTCTGCAGCAACAATTAATACACACTTCTCTTGCCACCTAGTTGGAATTTGCCCATAAACATTCCTAATTGCTTCGATATAAGCTCAATAACGTATTTCTCTGCATCTACTCACATAATCATACAGAAATTCAATCGTCTCAAGAAATATTTTATTCACAAGTCTAAACTGTAATTATGGTCATTATTACAGAGTTCTTGGTACCGAAATAATAGTGGGAAGTCTATGTTCAGTAGACGATCCAGATATGTATCTTTTGGACAATATTCTCAATATATATAAAAGACAACGTGACTATATATATATATATATATATATATATATATATATATATATATATATATATATATGTGTGTGTGTGTGTGTGCACACGCGTATGTGTGCGTCTGTGTTTTTTGTGCGTGTGTGTTTCGTGTGAGTGTCTACCTGGGATTACCTCGGAAATCACGCACCTGAAAAGCAGCGTCGAAGAGATCACACAAATACATGCATATAGGGGGAAAAGTTGATTAGCTTTCCTCTCCCTACATCTGACGCTTTTCGTCTGAATATTGTTCCCAGTTTTTAAATACAATAAGGCTTCCTCAACTGAAGAATCGAGGAAAATTGTAATAATGTTCTATAGTGTTACTGTTATCCCAATAGCGGTTCAAAAAACGTTTACATTACAGGATTTTAGCGGAGAGGGTTTGCGTGGGATTAAAACAGGGTATCCGATAGTATCATCGCAACTTAAGAAGTTTTTATGGAGGGGTTAGATAATGTAGACATTACTGATGATGGTCTTCAGAAAAAAACCGTAGACGCCAGAGGCTGCGTATGAAAAGGGACTAACGGAGACTAAGGTGAGACATAGGATTGGATTAGCCTTAGCCACATGAACGAACCCATGGAGAATCGTCACGCCAGCAGAAGACACAGTGTAGAACCTAATCCCAGGATAGGAATGAATATCATGGAAAGAATATTTACTCTCTTAGATATATAAAATAGTAATAGGTAGGAAGGCATAGACGACCTGAGAAGATAATTACATCAGTGTAGTTATCTGTTGGGAAATGCGGTGGTGGAAGGTCACATTAGACAATTTGCAAGCGATTGCTTTAGGGAAACTGGGAACGTCCGGTCGGAACGGGCCCACCGGCTGGAGAAAGGAATTAGAGACATATGTAGTCGATAATATGGGCTGACCCAATTCACATAGATTTAGGCTAAGTAGACATTCTTATAGAGCTCTGGTAATATGACTGATACTTCTGTTCCCGTGTCTACCAGAGCCCTATAAGAATGTCTACTTAGCCTAATTCTATGTGAATTGGGTGAGCCCATATTATCGGCTACATATGTCGCGAATTCCTTTCTTCGACCGGACTTTCCCAGTTTCTCGAAATTACTGCATAAGTTTCACATATTGAGAAACTTAAATGGGAATATAATATTGGGACTGGACTGACTTGAGTGAAATAGGGTTAGAATTTCCCATTTCGTCCATAACTAGGATAGCTCGTCCAGTAATGTAATGGCGATAGAATTTATTTTGATTTAGGCGCAATATGTCTAGTATGTAGCATTAGAAGAAGACAGTCCCATTTCGTCCATATCTAGGATAGCTCGTCCAGTAATGTTAAAACCCCAATTCGTGTACACGTGTATGGCAAAAGTTGGACTGCAGGATGGTAGGTTAATGAAATCTTATGAGGTTGAACAATTAAAAGCAGGGTTCGTTAGTAACCTATGCGGCATGTAAGTAGCGAGCGCGTTAGTAACATTGGGTGCAACAAGCAGAATATCGCTACTCATTGTCAATAATGCGAACCAGGCAGTTACTTTGAGACTAGGCTTAATCATGTCGCCAGTGTAAATGTCATCCCCACAGTTAGAAGCGAAACAACATCACGTCGAAGAGGGAGAATTAGAACGGGCCAACGTGCCAGAATAATTTAGATCACCGATACATAAGCTATTAAAGAAAAATAGAGATTTATTTACTATGAACGACAAAGATTTAAGTAGGATAGATGAGTTGAAAATGCGTATCAACATAGACAGATTCCTATCAAAAAAGCCCATATCGCACACAAAGAAAACTACTAGATGTGGCTTTAGAGGAAATGTTAGTCTGGGATTATATCAGGTCATCCTATATGTTCTGTCCGAATTTTAACTTTTTGTTAAAATGAACGAAATTTAAAGAGTATTTTATAATGTCTAATGAAGCTGAACATTATTTTTATGTTTAGATGCATTTAAACTGTTCAAATTTTATTTCAGAGAACAATAAAATTAAATTTTGTTTGATTAAAACCCTGCTAACATGGAAGTACCCAAGAATCATTTGAGGCACATAATGCTTTATGAGTTCAAGAAAGGAAACTCAGCAGCTGAAGCAGCTAGAAACATTTACTCAGTTTATGGAGAGGAATGTGTGAATAAAAAAAACTTGCAGAAGATGGTTTAAAAAATTCAGAGGTGGAGATTTCACCCTTGGAGATGAAGATCGAACCGGATGTCCAGTTGAGTTTGATGAAAAGCTTCTTGAAGCAGCCCTTGAAGAAAATCCTGCATTATCAGTTGAGGAATTGGCAGTAGTTCTCAGTCCAAACCATACAACTGTTCATCGTCATCTTCAACAACTTGGAAAAGTTCCTAAACTTGGAAAATTGGTGCCTCATGAATTGTCTGAAAACAACCTCAAATCCCGAGTTGACATCTGCTCTTCTCTCCATTCTCGCCAACTTGTTTCACCTTTTTTGGATAGATTTGTGACTGGTGACAAAAAGTGGACGAAAAGTGGATCTTTTATCGAAATGTTAAGCGTCGTAGACAGTGGCTTGATAAAGGGGAAGGACCCCAGCCACAGCCGAGAATGGAACTTCATGGGCAAAACGTTCTTCTTTCAATCTGGTGGGATCGCCAAGGAATAATCCACTTTGAATTCTTACCACCTAATGAAACAATTAATGCTCAAATATACTGTCAGCAATTAGAGCGTTTGAACCAAGTTTGAGGAAAAAAAAAGGCCTGCTCTAGTGAATCGAAATAGGTAATGTTTCATCAGGACAATGCGCGACCCCACACAGCAAGAATTCTGTCACAAAAGATCAAAGAACTTGGTTGGGAGAAAATTCCTCATCCACCTTATTCTCCCGATCTTGCTCCTCAGACTACCATTTGTTTAGTAGCTTACAGAATCATTTGGAAGAAACAGCTTTTGTAACACAGCAAGAGGTTAAAACTGACATTTGTGAGTTCTTCGAATCAAAGCCAAAAGAATTTTACAGTAATGGAATTAGTAAGCTTGTTAATAGATGGAAGGAAGTCATAGATAATCAGGGAAAATACATTGTTGATTAAATCTGTAATTAAATGTAACATTTGGTCACTTGTTTTCTTTATTCAAAATTCGGACAGAACTTATGGGATGACCTGTTATATAGATCTAGAAGTGTTTGAGTTTTCCCAATGATGTTTATAGAGAAGAAGCATGGGAGTAAAAGATTTTGTGTAGATTTTAGGGCTCTAAATAAAAATTACTAAGGGCAATGCACACCCACACACTGTTAGTGATATCTTAGCATGTTTAAGGTCAGCTAGGAACCTTTCCAAGTTAGACGTAAAATCCGGATACTCGCAGGTAGAGCTACGTGAATAAGGTAACGCGTCATCGGGGTTTATTCCACTTTAACATTATGCCATTTGGACTGGCAAACGCACCCGGTGTATTTCAAAAAATGTATATCCAGCGTTTTACAAGGACAGGGACAGCATGGTCTATGGGAATTCAACCGGATATTGGTAAAGTAACAGCTATACGCTCCGTAGCCACACCCATCACTGTCAGACTCTTTCGACGGTTCATCGGTATGTGCTTCTACTACCGAAAATTTATTCCAGGAATTAAATTAACTAGGGATCATGGTGGGTAATGAATGTCAAGTATGATTTGATCATGGGAAACATATGGTCTCTGAATCATTGACGCTAGCGTCTCCAGATCCGAACAAAGAAAATAAACTTTCTACGCATGCATCGGACTTAGTTTTCTTAATGCAGCAGGTATAGCGATTTTACAAGCGTAGATTAGATGTGGCACAAGGCCGAAATTGTGGGGCACCCAGTGATGATCGAACTCTCTACTCAGTCGTAATTGTTCTAGCGAGACAAACTTGCTAGCCATTACACTGCCTCGAGGTCCCCAAATGCAGCAGATATATGATGAAGAAATGAAAAGTGAAATGGAAAAACCTGTATACTTCCTATCTCACAATCTGAGTGACCCACAGATGAGGAAGTGGTCAGTTATTGAAAAAGAGGCGTATGCTATCCACTACACCTTGCAATATCTCCACCACTGCTTACATAGTGCAAAAATCACAATCTACACAGACCATAAACCTCTGCAGTATCTTTTAAATTCTCCTATTTAGGACAAAAATATCCAGTTGTGCATTTTGAATATAACAGGCTACAACTGTACAATAGAGTACTTACAAGGTCAGCGCTATTAATAACTTCGTCCTGACACTTTGCTACTTACAGAGAAGATTTACACCACTCTCCAAGAGAAATAGCCACATTAGCGGACATAGATATAATTAGAAAGCGGTAGGCAGACAGAAATATTTTAAAAATCAAGCATGGAATTCAAAAGGGTAAGACTAATTAGAGAAAAAGAAATACATTCTGTCGGACGAAGTTGTGTATTCTTCATCTCGACCAAACGATGGACTGATAGTCAGGCTTTACATTGCATCACATCTTAGGAAGAGCATCCTCGTGCAGTAACATTATGATAATGGCCACATGGAAACGGAGAAGACGTTCCAAGCGATAACTGAAATATTTCTGGCCATGTCTGTCTAGAGATGTGGAGTTAATAGGGAAGTGTATACCCTGCCAAATGAGAAATTGCGGAGGCTCCAACTGTTAGAATTTTTGGGTAGACTGACGTACTAGTGAGCCAGTCAAAATGAGCTGATCCTCATTTTATAGTTCATCAATAGAAGGGTTAACCAATCAGAAAGCTCAAAATATTCAATCCGACGTGTATAAAGGCAGCCATTTTGTTTTTTCTCCCAAAATATCTTCACTGCCAACCTGATATCGAAGACTTAAAGAATTAACAGCCGCTACTTTCTCCGAATCTACACTGCCAACCTCTGATATTGAAGAGATTACGGACTTCACTGGATTCCATATTCAGTGACTACGGCAAACATGGTCAACATTGGTTATGAGCCCATGACGCTTCCACTGCGCTCATAACCAATGTTGACCATGTTTCCGTAGTCTCTAAATATGGAATCCAGTGAAGTCCGTAATCTCTTCAATATCAGAGATTGGCAAACATGGTCAACACCAACCCCGTATGCACGAATACGATATGCCATCTTTTTCTTTCGTTAAGATGGCCTTAGATATATCCAGACCTTACGCACAAACCCTATCAGGAAACCAGTACAGAATAACCTTTATTGATATGTACGCAGGCTAGCCCGAAGCATTTGCTGTACCAAATAGGAAGGCTCAGCCAATCACCTACTTATTTGTAGGTGAAATATTTCCTAGATTTGGAGTCCTTCTTCAGTTAATAACAGATAATGATACAGAGCATGTTAACAAAATTATGAAAGAGACGCTACAAAGCTTAAATATACAAAACAACTGTAAATTAGAGCTGTTTGTATAAGACTATATAAAATATTTTATAAAAAACTTAGTAATAATAATTGAACATCGGTTTTATATATTAACCAGATGCTCGCGGCAATTGGGTTTAATCCCAGCGAGTCAACAAACTTCTCCTCGTACTACATACTTTATAATAGGGACGTCGTTCAACTGCTAGATAATATTTAAAAACAACGTTGAAGAAGGAAATTACTGGAAAGTAATTGAAACTCACCTGAAGCGAGCTGATTCTATAATGCTCCTCATGCCAATGACACTTCCACCGAGCTTCTCTACGGCATATGATTTCACTGAATTTTGATGTGTTCCTCTCGAATTTTAAACTGGGGTCATCAGGAGAGAATGTGCACCGTTTTGGGGCCTTCCTCTCAACGGTTTCAGTTGCACACCGGCCCCCCTCACTGATGTGAGGCCCCATTATAACGATATACAAGTGTTGTAGATAAACTAGTT